CTCGACGGCGAAGCTCCCCTTCAGCGTCCGCCGTGCGCGCTTCTCCCAGCCGCGTCTCTTGGAACAAAATTGCGTCGCAGCTTGTCAGCTCCTCGACCAGGCACTTGTCGATGTTCGAATACGCATTCATATTCAACGTGACGATGCGCCAGGAGCTGCTGCGGCTAAAGCTTCCGCCGCTTGGCCTCCATCGCGGCGACGTGCTGTTGCTGCAGGTGGGCCTGCAACTCCTCGAGGAACTTCCGCTTCTCCGCGTCCGTGCCGATGAAGTCCTCCGCCGCGGCCTTGAAGGTGTCGCCCGTCGCGAAACCCAGGGGGTCGCCCTCCAGGTCCATGTCCTCGGACTCGCCCACGGGCTTCTCGGCGGCATCGCCGCCGGCCCCAGCGGCGGCGGCAGCGCGGCCTGCAGGTGCGGCTCCTCCTCCACATCCTCCAGCAGCGACTGGTTCAGGTGGCGCGGCAAGCGCGGACACACCTGCCAGCAGCGCTTGGAGAGGTCCCAGCAAGGACTCTGGAAGCTGGACGCCCTGGCTCTCCGAAGAGGTTCCCACGAGCGTCTTGAGCTTCTCCACGTTGCCGAGGATGCCGCTGAGGTCTGCTCCTCCAGCAGCTGGCTTGGGCTCGGCGCCGTTGGCGAGCGCGGCCTTCGCCTTGGAGACGGCCTCGTCCAGCTCGAGCTGCAGCTGCGTGACCTTCTCCTTCTGTTGGAACGCTGCCTGCAGCGCCTCCGTAACCATCTTCTGCTTCTTGTTGTAGTCCGCCTTGGCCTGCTGGAGCCGCTTGCAGGCCTCGTCGGCTGCGACCTGCGCAGACTTGACGAACTTGACGTCGGACAGCACGCCCAGCTGCTGCTGCAGCAAGAAGCGCGACTGGCGCAGGCTGTGCTTGTCGCTGGCGGCCAGCGTGACGGACAGCAGCTCGAAGTCGTCGTCACTGAGGGCCATGAAGCGGTCGCGGGCCTCGGGCGAGAGCTTGGGCGGTTGCGCCCCCGAGCCCCCGCCACCTCCACGCTTCGGGTTGGCCATCGTATGCCAAGGGCGGGAGTCTGCACCTCCGTCCGCCCACGCCCCACGCGCTGGAGGAGGGCCAGAACGAGGAGCAGGTACACGATTGGTCGGCCTGCAGCCCGTGCACCCCGCTTGCCGACACTTCGCGCGCCAGCCCAGGTTCTTGTAGTGGCAGCGGTCGCAACGCCAACTCGTTCCCTGAACTGCGTCACGCGCTGCACCAGCGCCAGCGCCGCCGCCGCCACGAGGCTGAGGAGCCATGCCGCTGCGGCTCGGCACTGGACTGCCGAGCTCCTCACCTGGGGCGGACCAGGCCGAAAAGCTGAAAGACTTGCTGCGGCAGCAGCTTCCGATTTGCCTGGAGGCTGAACAGCCTCCCAGGAAGTCATCTTGAGCCAAAATGGCTACGGAGGAGGGGGAGGAGGAGGGGGACGAGGAGGAGTAGGAGGAGGAGGAGGAGGAGGAGGAGGAGGAGGTAGGAGGAGGAGGAGGAGGAGGAGGAGGAGGAGGAGGGGGAGGAGGAGGAGGAGAAGGGGGAGGAGGCCAGGAGCCTCTTGCAGATCCCGAGCTCGGGGGGCCGCCCGCGGCCCGGCATCCAGACCGAGCTGCCGGCTGGACCACCGGCTCGCTCGGAGCCTCCCGGGGCCCCGCCGCGGGCGCCCGCGGCCCCGAGGACACGGCCGTGACGTCGGAGGCGGAGGCGCCCTGCCGCGCGGCCGCGTCCCTCGAGGCGTCGCTGTCGCTGGAGCGCTGCTGGGCCAGCCTCGCGTGGGCGCCCTCGCGCGCGGGGCTGCCGCTGGAGTGCGAGGAGCCCCGCGGGGGCCTGAAAGCGGTGCCTCGCCTCGTCGCCGCCGTCCTCGTCCTCGTTCTGCCTCTCCCTCGCTGCCTCGGTCCCGCCCCCCCGCTTCTGTGGAGCGCTCTCTCTCTCTCTCTCGCCCTAGCTCCCTTGCTCCATCTCGCCCTCTCTCGCTCTCCGTTTGTGTGTGTGTGTGTCCCTCTCTCTGTCTCTCTTTCTTTTTCCCCTTTCTTTTGGTTCTTCTCTCTCTCTCTCTCCCTTCCTACAGATTTAATGGCTGCGTGCATGATGCGAATCCAATTGTCCTCTCTCCTCTGGTATTGTGGAGTGTCACGGTCCCGCGTTTTTTGTTCGCAACTGATGCCAGCACGTGTTTGATACATGTTTTAAGTTGCTGTTCGATCTGATGATGACCAGTCCTACAGACATGGTGCTCCGGCTGCAGCGGGCTGGCCACATTTCAGGATCGGCGCGTTGCTCCCTTCGTTCAGGATGGTGCTCTCGCCCCAGCGCGGGCCACACTTCTGGATCCGATACCTTCCTCGTCCTTGTCGCCCTCGTCCTTTCCCCTCCCCCTCCTCCTTCCTATGGCCCTCATGTTCTGTCTCCTCCTCCTACTCCTGCTGCTCCTGCCCCTGCTGCCACAGATCATCCCCATCCCCTTCCGTATGATGATCCTCTTCCTCGCGCTCATCTAACATCTAATGTACAAAGTCTTGCACACACACACACACACACTCACATACCTAACTTTTTCTGAATGCTTATCACAAGTTGGAGTCTCTTGGGGGACCTAGATGATCTCGAACTCAGTCGGCGGATGCAAAACAATGGAGAAGAGCGAGTGGAATGGTTGGGACGTGAGAGATGGCGGAGCGCGCCTGTTTGGCCCACTACCCTCTCCCTCTTCCCCTCCCCGCCATCCTTGCTCACCCTCGATCCTTCCCCTTTCCTCCCTCCCCCCCTATCTACTCTCCTTCTTCCTAGTCGCTCCTCTATCCCTCCCAGCCCGCCCTCTCCCTCCTCCCTCTCGGCGCAACCTGCGGCGGCAAAAGGGCAAGGGGGGTCTGCGCTGGGCTGGCGGGAAGGTGGCAGGAGGATGGGAAGGACACGCAGGGGAGACGAGGGCGTCCGGGGGGTGGGGGGCGGGACAGGGGAGAGGGCGCGTCGAGGGAAGGGGCGAAGGGGGTCGAAGGGAGAGGGGGGGAGGGGGCTCGGCCAGCGGGAGGGCATGCGTGGCGAAGGGGGACCGAAGAGGGAAAGCAGGGGCCCAACGTGCAAAGACGAAGCAGCGAAGAGGCAGGGCCGCGGGGCGGGCCCGATAGGAGGGGTGGGAGCTGGGCGAGGCGGTTCCCCCCCTGTGCCTGCCTGAGGAGGTGGTGCGCAGGCACGGGACGGTACCGGCGACCCACCCGCCGCGGCCTTCAGCCGATGTGGCGGTTTCCCTCCTCGGTCTCCTCCCCGCGCCTCCCGTCCTGCGGCGTCTGCTTCCCTTGCGTCCGGTTTCACGGACAACACAACACACGACGTGCGCATCAAACAAGGAATCGGCCTGCCAGCAGGTGCTCCACGGAAGTTTATGTTCCCCCGATGGCCCCAGGGATTCACAGAAGCTCTCCGGTACCTTACGACCGTCAAATATCGTCGAAGCATGTGCCCACACATGTCTAATACCATGTTCTCTCATCGTATGTGCCCACACTTTTGACTGACGTCCAGCTCTTCTTGCATCTGAGCCTCTGGAGGCCCTGCGCCGACTCACTGTATCGCCAGTCGAAGCTGACAAGGCGGGGAGTGGCCAATTTTGGGGGTTCAGCCGAGCACCGCACGCGTTCGAGCTCGACCGAGGGCTCGGGGCGTAGCCATTGTAATGCATCGGAATTGTCGAGTTTGCCTCAGAGGCCTAGCTGTGCGCAATGTTGATGATGTCCCCAGCTGTGGTGCATATGCATATGGACTCGTGCGCACACGATGCGCAATCCGATCGGCTTGAGCGACACAAGCGTGGCAGGTGTCGCTGCGCAATTGCAAACCTATTGGTGACTTCTGACTGCTGATGCTACTCCTGTTGCGTGAGGCGTGGGGGTCTGCGGAGCAGATTACATGTCCAGCCGGTTGTCGCGGTGCTGCCCCAAACACGTGAACTGGCAGGCAGATCACGTTTCGCGCGATTCCCCAGCCGTCGCCGTTCTGCCTCATTTGACTAGTTGCCGCGGCTGCTGCTGCTCTTATCCGTTTGACCCGCTGCCGTCCTCGATCGCATTTTGAGGGTCTTCACATTCATCTGAATATCTGCCGCGCACGCTCGGTATGTGCGTGTCCTCTTGTGACTCCTGGGCTTCCTTTTAAAAGCCTCTCGCGGGGATTGTTTACCCCCATTGAGAGCCCCAGCAAGGCCCAAGCAAGGTCGCAGTTCGCAGAGCGGGGCCCGACTGCTTTTTGGGCCACCGCTGACGAGGTCTCCTGCCCAGCCAGCGGGGGCCCTCTCGAGGTCGCAGCGGGTGCCTCGGCACACCGAGGCGTTGCCCTCCCCGGCCTCTTCCCACCCCCCTCCTGCTTCTCGGCCTCTTGCAGGCTTTTGGGGCCGGTGTCCGTTCTTATTCTGGAGGTGCTGCAGTGCAGTATTTTCCTCGTGCCGCCGTGTGGAAAAATTGGTTTCGAGGGATGTTGGGTGTCCGGTTCTGGCGTGTCCCGGTTTACGGGGCCCTGGTTTGCTCTTCTCCCTTCTGCCCTCCCCGCCCGCCTTCCCCCCCCGAGGTGACACTTTAGCCGTCGAGGCATCGGCCACCTCCGCCCGCAGCCCGCGCGGGCGCGGGGTGCCCGCACCCCGTGCGGCCACGCGCCAGGTCAGCCCCGGGCTTGCGGCCCCGTGTGCTCCGCTTCCCTCCGCTGCCCACGGCCCTCTCTCTCTCGCCTCCCTTCCTCTCACTGCTCCTCCGTTCCTCTCCTGCTGCTGCTGGTCCCGCACCTTCGCCTCCGCCTCACCCTTCCGGACTTTTTGGGGGGGGCTCTGCTGCATGGCGCCTGCGTGCTTGCGTTGTCCTCGCCCGCGCCATGAGATCACCAGAGGTGGGATGTAAGGAGAAGAGGGCGAGGGTGACGGTGGACCTGGGGTGAGAGAAGAGGAGCCTTGTGCGGACCAGCGGTCTCCTCCATTCGGCGGGGGACGAGCGGGCTGTGCCTTCGACCCCGCGTCCATGGCCGCCGCGGGCGAGCTCAGCCGCCTGCTGAAGGAGCGCGGCGAGCTCGGCTGGGTGAAGGCGAGAGGCCTGTCGGGTGGAGTGTGCTGGAAACGGCCGCCCCAGACGCGCTGCACGATTTGCCGTCGAGGTGGTCTTGGGTCACCGGGTGGTCTCCGCTGGCCTCGGATAGCTTCGCTCAAGGCGCGGATCGCATCCCAAATCTGTTCCATGCAGAAGAGAGCCGTCCCGAGCAGGGGGAAGCTTGTTGAAGGCACCAGGCCGACGGGCTTCTCCCTGGCTCGTCCGCTCTGGCTGGGTTGAGATGAAAGAGCAGCTCGAAGAGAGCGGGGGCGAAGTTGGGGAGAGGGGGCATGCAAGAGGGAAGCGGGGGGTCAGCTTGAAGACGGGTGAGAGGAAGTGGAGGGAGGAGAAGATGGAGGAAGCAAGTCGAGAAGGGTGAAGGGGCGCCGCAGTGAGTCGAGGATCAGACCGAAGAAGTGTGGGGCCAAGAGGGGGGCGGCGAGGCGAGGGGCGGAAGCGACCCTCCCCTGTCCAAGGCGGGGATCGGTCCATAACCGCTGCTTGGGGGATCGATCTTCGGGGACCTCTGCAGTGGACACGGATATAGTCGGTCCACAGGTGGCCCAGATGTACCCATATCCATGGCCACCTGGGTCCCCAGGACTTCGGTTCCCCAGGCGGTGGGTCTGGATAGATCCCCACCTCGCACCCCTGGCCTTCTGGCCAGCCCTCGACCTGAGACTCCTCTTCGAGAGCACGGGTGCAGGGTGGCGATTCCTCGTTCTGCTGGCTCCGCGGTAGCAGAGGGGAGGGCAGAACCAGGACGGGATACATAGAACTTGCCAATGTGATTTGAAATGTTCCACAAGGTGGCTCCGCAGTCGTTTCTGGCAGGATTGAACTGCCCTGCCAGCGAGTGGCCCCTCGACTTAGCATGGACTGTAGAGCTAGGAGCACCTTCGCATCTCATTCATGGCTCAAGATCTTTTTCGTCAGCGGCGAGGGCGAAATCCGCTCCAGCGAGAAGCTAGATAGGGGCACTAACTAGCGAATTGGCCGGCGAGCAAAGGGGGGGGACGGCCGAGAGGAAGAAGGGATGCTCAGACGTCGAAGAGTTCGACGATGAGCAGCCGGGGGGCAGCAGCAGCCGGGCGCGCAGGGCCAGAGCGCGTTGGGCGGCCGTGGCGAACCACGGTGGCAAGGGTGACAGGAGGGCGGCAGCCAGCGGCTGGAGCTGGCGGGCGGGCGCAGTGGGATGCCACGAACGGCGTACCGCGGCGCGCCGAGGAGTAGGCACAGCATTGAATCGTGCGGAGGCAGGAGCAGCGGCCAGATGGCTGGCAGTGACAGGGGTCCTGCGGCGTGACTCATGTCTCAAACATGCGACCCAACATCGTGTTCCCATTGTAGCTCGCTCGTGGCACGAACTCGAAGGCACGAGCTCGAACTCGAACGCATTATGGGGGAGTCGGCGGGGGGTCTTCAGCAAGCTTCTGGCGGTACGGCCAGCTGCCTCGAGAAATCTGTCATCCCGAGTGGTCCAATCGCGCTTTGAGAAATGCTTGACATTCGCGTATCCCCACCAATCCACCCAGAAACGATACCCAGGCGAGCGACGTTGACCAGGACAGTGTAGAAGCATGCAGTGGAACAGATGTTGTATTAGCCTGGTCAGATCCAGAATGAAGACGAGGGCAAGGAGGAGGACGAGGAGGAGGAGGCGGAGGAGGTGGAGAAGGAGGAGAAGGAGACCGAGGAGGATGACGAGGAGGAGGAGGACGAGGAGGAAGACTGCGATGACGAGCACGAGGAGGAGGAAGAGGAGCAGGAAAGAAGGAGGAGGGGGACGAAGACTCCGCGGGCTACTTGGGTGTGTTTTGGAGGCTCTCTCAGGATCCTCACGGGGCTCTCTCGCGACCCTCTTGGGGCCATTTCGGATTGTCTTGGGGTCCTCTCGCGGCTCTTTTGCAGGGTATCGGGCCCTGTCCGAGCCCATCTTGGGGGCTTCGTGGGAGTCCTGGAGGCAGTTTTAAGGCCATCTTGGAGGCGTCGATTTAAAGAAGCGGGGGGGTCCTCGACTGTTCTCTTGGGCCCTTCTGGGGGCTCGCTCGGGTCATCTTGGGACCATATGGAGGCCCCAGAAGCCCATCGGACGCAAACGTGCGAGAAGGCAAACATCAAGCAATGTGCTTACGGTGTTTGAAAAAATGCGGCCCCTTGGGGGTGTCCGTGGGGGGCGCCGCCAGCACTTGGCACTATCTTGTGGCTCCCTTGGGGCCTTTTGCCCTCGGCTATCTTGAGCCACCTTGGAGCGAATCGTGCAGCATCGGGGCCCCCCTTGGAGCCATATTCGACCATCTTGGGCGCCCTAAGCCGTCCGTCAAGGACCAGAAAAAACTGAGGAAGGTAAGGGGGGAGAGCACATCGCCCCAAAAGGGAAGAGGCCGTGGAAGAGGACAGATAGGTATCTCTGGAACAAGGAAGAGGTCTTCGAGAGGGAAGAGGTCTTGGAAGAGGAAAGGCCTTGCAACATCCCACCTACGCCCAGAGGGCTGGCGGGATTTTGCAACGTGTCCTCGAATGCCCCGACAGTGAAAACGTGCATGTCCCTGCGCCTCCCATCGGACCGACTGCGATTGCTGTTGCGGGGGGGTATGATGAGGTGTCGCCGACTAATGTGTCGGACCCCGGTGCAGCCAGTTATTCGCCAAACGGTGTTTGCACTTCGGGGTTCGCACCTGCCTTCTGAAGCAACTGGGTAAAATTTCCAGATGTAATTTTGTTTGGTGGCGGCCCTCGGGTGTCACGTGGGCGCCACGTGCGTTGGCTGACATTTCTGGGTTCCGCCCGCCCGTACGTGGGCGCGCGTCGGCTGGAATTTCCGTTTCCGGAGTCTCGCCCCGTCGTCGCCCGTGGGCGGTTCGTAGGCGCTTCTTGCGTTGGCTTGACTTCCTGGGTTTTCGCCCAGCCGCCCGCCACCCATTGGTGCGTTGTGGGCGCCCACTGCGTTTGCTGGCGTTGCTGGACTCTGGTCAGGTCGCCATCTGTGGGCGCCTCGAAATCCACATGTGCATTCGCTCGCGTTTCAGAATGCACGCGTGGCTTGCGCCACTCACTGGGCTCATATGTTCCCCTCCCTTCTTTACCTGTTGGATTCCTCCCTCCCCCGCGCTTTCTGGGATACCCTCATACACGTACACACACCAAGACACATAATCACACACGCAAGCCCTGCACACCCCACGCGCCCCACAACTCGCCTGCGCCCGCGGCAGCGCGAGAGGGAAAGAGGAGAGCGCGCGCGGCGGTGCGGGGAAGTGAAGGAGGAGGGTAAGGGTGCAGGGAGGGGACGGGCATGGAGCAGACGAGGATGAGGAAGATTGTCTAATGTAATCCACGACGCATCAGCGCTGTTGCAATAAGGTCACTGGAAGAAGTGATGTAGGACCCCGCATTTGCGAATAAGAGTGCGGGGGCGGGCGCGAGGTGGGTTGCGGGTGGGTCGCGGGCGGGTCGCAGGTGAGTCGCGAATGGGTCGCGGGTGGGCTCGCGGGTGAGTCACGGGTGGGTCGCGGGCGGGTCGCGCGTGGGTCGCGGGTGGGTCGCGGGCGGGTCGCGGGTTGGTCGCAGGCCGGGTCGCGAGACAATAACGAACAACGACAACGCAACAACAATCTCCATATCGGAGCTCCTCTTCAGCCACGCACCTAGGGAAGGGGAATGCCAGTTCGGCCCCCTCACTCTGATTTGCATTGCGGGGAATGGCGGCAAACGTTTGAGAATCTTCAGTCGTGCCAAACCACCGTTCTTGGGACTTCAGCGCCGAAGATCAACCTGACTGTCGCGTTCTGACCATCATAAGTCGTGCAGAACACTACTCCTGGGATTTCGAGCATACGAATCGATCAAACTGTTGTACACGTTTGTGACGAAAGCTTGCGTCGCTAAGGCGAGAGCCCCATTCTGAAAAAAAATCATCCACCCTTGAAACTATCGCAAACGTTAAAAAACGAATGTGCGCGGCGCGAAGGCGAGATCCACATTCTGAAGACCATCCGCCTTCAATCCGTGAAACTATTGGGAACATTCAAAAAGAATGTGCGCAGCGCCCAGGCGAGAATCACGTTTTAAAAAATAAGGTGCGAGTTCCATCCTTGAAGCTGTTGCATCATTTCGCGACGAATGTGCGCGACGCTAAGGCGATAGCGACATTTTGAAAACGACCCGCCCTCCATTAGCGAAATTGTTGCAACTGTCAAGCTTCAGAATCATACATGATAAGGAAGGCTCAGGCGACGCCGCCCTGCCGACACGTTTGGGGGTGCGACAGGCAGGAGTTATGTATAAAGACAAGGATGCAGAACGGAGATACGGATGCAGAACTAGGGGCCATGCAAGCATGACAGTGCTACTGGAAACTGCCCTGAACCCTCAGCGACAGAGCGCGCAAGCTCTCCGCTTATCTCAACTGCAGCGTTTCCCCCCCTTGTCTCATCAAGCCCCAATCTGCTGCTCGCCCCCCGCCCCAGGACTCGCCCCGCGTCCGGTTCCGAGTGCGCCGTTTCGGCGCCGATGACCCCTGCGGCATGGAGGACGCGCTCGGGTCTCCCGAACGATTGCAGCGACGACGTCGACGACGAGGACGACATTCTCCAGGAGGAGGGGGGAAGAGTGGGGAGGGGGAGGGCGACGACGACGACGATAACCACATCGACCAGGAGGAGGAGGAGGAGGAGGAACAGGACCAGTGCAAGACGCATCAACAATGTTGGAACCAGCCCTCTCCCAAGCTCCCTTTTCATAGGCCCTCACACGGAATCATTTCCACTGGGGGTAGTTCCCCGTTGGGAGACAACCGTTTGAAGATCACGAAGCGTGCCAACACACCGCTCTAAGATTTCCAGCCCCACTAAGTAACTTGATGGTTGCGTCCCAACGATCCCGAATAGTGCCAGAACGCAATCCCTGGGACTTCAACATCGCGAGACAACGTAATCCGTGAGGGCTTCGTTCCCATTGGACTTGCCAGAGCTGTGTTGGGATGTCTGGACGCTGGCGTGAAGCAGTGTCGGGACTTCACGCGAAGGCCAATATTAATTTACCAGGCTTTATGTCTTCGGTGGCGCTAACATTAGGTAATTTACGATGGCTTATGGCTTCGGGGACGCGAATCTCGCATGACTTTCGAGGATGTGTGGCCTCGGGGACGCATATCTAGCATACTTTACAAAGGTTGATTGCTTCGGGGGCGCACATATTGTGTAATTCAAAAGGGTGTAAGGCCGCGGGGGCGCGAATATTGTGTAATGTGCAAGGTTTGTGGCCTCGGGGACGGGAGCACGGTATAATCTACAAACGTTTATGGCCCTGGGGACGCGAATATTGAGTAATTTTCTGGTGCTTATGGTTTGGGGGCAAACTTTAAATAATCTACAATGGGTTATGTTTTCGGGGACGCGAATATTTTGTAATTCGCAAGGGTTTGGTGCCTCGGGGGCGCAACTATCGGGCAATTTACAAGGGATTATGGTTTCGGGTACGCGTACATGATCGAATTGACTAGGGATTATGGCTTCGGGGACGCGAATATCATGTATTTTTACGTGTCCCACGCCCCACGAATTCTGAGAACCTTCCCAGGGCGTGGTAGAACAACTTGTGTGGGGCCCCCACCCCTCGCGCGGACACAACAGTTAGCAGTAAAGAAGCCAAAAGCAGGACTGTAACAGTGGACACTGGAAACTGCAACTGGAGCAGGGAGCTGCAATCCTCATCCTCGCAGCCTGGGGGCCGGCGGATTGTTGCGCACTGACAATCACAAGTCACTCCGGAACTCCATTGCTGGTACGCTAACCATGAGACCCGTGAACTCCAGCCTTTTTCAAGTACGAACGTGCGGGGTGCTAGGGCGAGGGCCACATTTTGAAAAGGAAGGGCCGTCCCTTTTCAATGTGAAGCAAATGTGTGCGGCGCTGAGGCAGGAGCCACATTCTGAAAACCACCCGCCCTCAATATGTGAAGCCCTTACATTTTGTTTACACGAATGTGCGCGGCGCTGAGGCCAGAGCCACATTTTGAGAACGATTCGCTTTCAATTCGTGAAGCTCCTGCAATTATGTAAGACGAATCCGCGTGCCGCCAAGGCGAGAGCCACATTCGAAAAAGGAACAGAAAAGATAATGAAGGAGGAGACGGCACCGTCCAGAGGACGAGGACGAAGTCCTCCATGAGGGGGAGAACGAGGAGACGACCTGATGTTGTCTAGAAGGAGGACGACGACCAGGACGACGCCTTCCCGGAGAAGGACGACGGAACGACGTCGCCCAGAGGAGGCGGACGAGGACGGCGGCGTCCAGGAGGGGGAGGAGGAGGAGGAGGACGACGACGAGGACGAGACGGCGTCGTCCAGGAGGAGAAGCAGGAGGAGGAGGGTAAGTTTAGAGGAGGGGGAGTACGAAGAGAGAAGCTAAAGGGGAGGAGCGTGGAGTAGTGGGGAGAGAAGGGGAGAGAAAGGAGAGAGAGAGAGAGAGGAGGATTGCGCAAGGAGAGGGGGTGGGAGAAGAAGGGGGTCAAGGAGGCGGTGGGTGGTGGAGTGGAAGGGCGATGTGCATCTCTTCCTCTCCTTCCTCCTTGCTTGTTCGGGTGGCTACTTCTGACAGGTATGGGGGTGTCAGTGATATCTCAGCACGGTGTGCAGGCACAGGCCCTTGGGATCCTAGAGGAGGAGGCGAGCAAGGAAGAGCGAAGCAAGCGAGCCAGCGCGCGGGCGAGCTGACAAGTTGGCGCCGCCTCGGTGCGCAAGATCGTCATGGCCTCTATGCGGTCTGCTTGTGCACAGAGCTCGCTTGGCAACGCGCGTGCCGCGCGCGCTGGGGGGGGGGGGGGGGGGAGGGCAGCGCGGCGGCGTCGGCACGCCCAGCTTCGCAAAAGTGTCGCGCAGCTCCCACAAGGTCAAGGACTTAGCGCGTGCGCGCGCGCTCGTGCCCGAGGTCGCGTCAACGATAACGATAGGCAAACAACGATAACGAGGTTGCTCGTGCGATAGGACAACGATAACGACAACGACAACGATAGGCAAATAACGATAGGCAAACAACGATAACGATAACGATACGAGGTCGCTCGTGCGCGCGCGTTGCCAAACAGCGAGGACGACGAGGTCGCGTGTCATCAATGCCCGGCCCGAGCACGTGTTCGTGCAGTTTGGCTCGCAGCTCGGGGCGATGCACGCAGACGCAGATCCGTGTCGGTGTTGTTGCCGTCGTCGTCTCGGCGTTCGTCATCCTTTCGTTGTCTGTCGGGCGATCTAGGCGAACCGGCACACATACTGTCGTGCCTCATTTTGTTTGGCGTGCGCCACGCGTGATTGGAGTTGGAATGTTGCACGCGCGTGCGCATGATGATCAGAAGCGGTCGTCGCGATGCATGTCGCAATGCCAGAGGACTTCTTGTCAGAGAACGTTGCGCTGTTGTGCATATATTGCAGCGGCGACGAAGGGGAGGCGCGGCTACACTTCCTTGATGCCTCCTGAGTTTATTCCTCCGCCTCCGCCCTGCTTCTTTCCTGTCCTCCTCCGTCCGTTTACGCCTGCCCTTGTTCCCGCGTCACCTCTTCTCCCAATTTATATTATCGCTAGAACCATTTTTTTCTCCCCCTCCTGCACGTACACCTACTTCACTCCACCTTTCTCTACACTCTCCTCCTTCCACTCCTCACCCGAGTCCTTGCCTATCATGTTCGCTCCACCTAATGTCAAATATTATAATTCCCTTCATGTCCCCTTTGTGGTTCCACTTCGACAACCCCTACACCCAATCTGCGTTCCGCTTTCCGTCTCTTTCTCCTTATCCATCCTCCCATCTTCCTGACATCCGCCCTACCTTGTGGCGACAAGCGAGCCGTCAGCAATGCACACCGGTTCAGCATGGAAGGTCCCACGCTCGCGGTGTCATCGCCAGGGTTTGAAATATTTGGGTTGGTATGTGATGAGCATCTGGATGCATGGGCAGGTTTGTGACAGTGTCAGCCCACAGCCCGTGGCTTCTTGTCACGACCACGAATGCGCCAAGACTTGCCAATCGACCTGCGGCGTAAATGTATCATCGACCTGCGACCTTGGGCGATACTTGCAGGTGCCCCCCCAAATCCTATAATGCTCAGCAGGCTTACCCCACATTGATATGGAGCAAGGCTGATTATGCTTTGCAGCAAAAAGGACACTACCCCTTGATGCCATAAAATGTCCAATGGCGCATGATGTCGCGGGAAGCGCTCCCATCGGGATCACCCCTTGCAGGCATGGTGCGACACCAAGGCACTGTGCCCGTACAGCTGGCAGGATGGCACAATGTTCTGCCGTTGAGGGTGCCCCCCCAGTTTGAGGCCAATCGTGAGGGAAATTCGCGTCATGGCCCTTCTCCATGGGCCACAGGTCCTCTCTCCCCACACTCCGTGCAAAAGGATGCCCCTCTCGCTGTCGCCAGTGAACTTGTGGACGATCTAGTAGTTCTGATGTGTTCCCTCTGGGTTGAGTTTGCTTCCATTCGGTTTTATTCCGTCTTTCCTGCATGCGTTTCCGATACAGGTTTTATGATGGTATCGGTATCTCTCGGTCTGCACCCAATTGGTTGTCCCAGACGGCCGCGGATGCAGAGCATCACGTTGCGTGCGCTCTGGGGTGACACAGTGAGGCAGTGTCGGTCTCGAGCAGATCGCCACACGTTGCTGTTGATGCATTCTCACGGATGTACCCCCAGTCGCTTGTAGTTTGAAGTAAGACTGTCAGGCTGTTGTGTGTTGAGAGCCAGGGTGCGTCAGTCTAAAAGCGAAGCTTCGCCACATGCTGGACATCCGTAGATGATAGGTCGGCCCACCTTCTTTACCCTTAAAGTCGAGGGTTGATGCGCCGAGGAGGTGGAGTTGGGGCTGGACACATCCTCATCCTGTCCTGCAACGTCTGGGCAGCCCAACTGCACAAGTACACAGCAAGGGCAAGCACGCCGAATAAGTATGGCCTTTCGGCGATGCACGCGAACTATATGCTCCAGGTGCCGCTCCTGATTTACGGTTCTATAGCAGGAAATTCCCAAGGTGTCTTCAGTGTTGAAACCAGCCCTCGATGTTCAATTCCCCGAAAGTTTCTTTGTTCGGTCTGAGATGGCACAGGGTGTTTCTGCCAGGTGCGCCACTGACGAGGAGCTCTCCGATCCGAAACAACGCCGGCTAAGCACCCATTTTCGACCAGACCCTCCCTGGGGATGGTGAGGGTCAGGAGGGGGAGGAGGAGGAGGAGGAGGAAAAGGGGGAGAAGGAGGTTGAGGTGGAGGAGGAAGATGGGACAGCCGCTGCTGCTCGTCATGGCTCTCGCCCGCGGCCGCGAAGGCCAACACGCTGTATGCGCGGACGCTGTCCAAGAAGCTGCACCAGGCCGGCAAGGGCTGGTCTCAGAGGACCAGCCGGGCGGAGGGGGAGGGGGGGCATCGGGGAGGCAGGTGCGGACGGGGTGGCCAGGGGAGCCGCCAGGAGCAGGAGGAGGGCCAGGGGGGGGGGGAGCAAGGTGAGGGGGAGGAGCAGGAGCAGGAGGGAAGGGCGGGCCACTTCGGCTCGGTGGCCCCTGCATCGGGCCCGCTATGGCGCGTGCCCGCTGGCACGAGGACCTCCCAGGAGGTGCCTCCCGAGTGCCGCGCCCGGGGCTCGAGCAGCTGTGCGGCCCCGGCGCTGCAGAGGCGCCGGTGGTCGGGCCGCTCCGCGCGTGCGGGTCGGGCGGAGGCCGTCCGTGGCCGAGGCTCGCCGCGGCGCGAGGAGGAGGAGGAGGAGGAGGAGGAGGAGGAGGAGGAGGAGGAGGGGGAGGAGGAGGAGGAGGAGGAGGAGGGAGGAGGAGGAGGAGGAGGAGGAGGAGGAGGAGGAGGAGGAGGAGGAGGAGAAGAAGGGGAGGAGGAGGAGGCGCGAAACGGCCCTTTGTCCCTTACGGTCAGCCCAGCCCGCACAGGAAGGGCGAGCGGCTTCCCGCCTTTCGCTGGCCGCGTGCCCGCTCGCCGAGTGTCGGCACACGGCCCTCCAAGGCCCTGGTGCGTCCCCTCCTCCTCCTCCCCCCCCTCCTCTCCTCCTCCTCCCCTCCCCCTCCTCCCTCCTCCTCCTCCTCCTCCTCCTCCTCCTCCTCTCCTCCTCCGCCTCCTCCTCCTCCTCCTCCTCTCCTCCTCCTCCTCCTCCTCCTCTCGTTCGCCCTTTCGCTCTACGGGTCGACCGTAGCGCCCGTCGGCGTGCGCGCCGGGGTCCGGCTAGAGCCGCCCGGGCGGGTCGGCGTGCCCGCCCGGGAGCGGGGCGGCCCGGCGCCTCGGCCCCCCCCCCCCCCGGCTGTTGGTCGGCCCGCCCCCGCGACGGCGCGGCGCGGTGCAGAGTCGGAGGGCACCAACTATACACCAACACCGATCCTGGCCCAGGATCACCCTGGGCCCAGGATCGGTGTATATGCCTTCTTGCGCAAGGCAGGAGGGCGTATACACCGATCCTGGGCCCAGGGTGATCCTGGCCCAGGATCGGTGTTGGTGTATAGTTGGTGCCTTCCTACAGAGGGTTGCAGGGTGCCCCGATGCCCCTCGCGTGTGTCGGAATTTCTTGCAGGAGGGAAGAGGGAGCACACAGGGACAGTGAATCGTCGACTCTCGGGGAAAATGTGCGACAATCAATGTGGACCGTGGGGGAAGACGGAGCTCCAGAAAACATAGCAAAGTATTGGGAGTGCTGTTACCTGTGTGTATCTATGTGTGTGTGTTTGTGTGTATCTATGTCTGTGTGTGTCCCAGGGCCCCTTTAGCTCTTGTGCGTCCCGGAGGTCGGTGGTCTCATGGTTTGGGGGGCGTTCTGGGCCGGCGGAGGGCTCCGCGTTCTGGCAGGCTGCTCTCTATGTCCTGCGGGTCTGGCCGCACGTGCATCAGAGGAGACGTCCGCTTGCCAGCGGGTGCCACACGGAACTGTCTTCGTCCTCGGCGGCCCAAGCGAGCCACAGAAGCTCAGGGGCGCCCCAACCGATAATGTGCCGCTGTTGTTCTGTCTCTCGCCCCCCATCGATCACTCACTCTTCAAGAATTATATGTCACTTGATCGTTGTCTTGCTTGCTTATCTATCTCTTTCTCTATTGTTTTTTTTTTTGTGTGTGTGCGTTTGTTGTTTCTCTCTCTCTCTCTCGTTTCTCGCTCTCTCTCTCTCTCTCTCCCTGTTTCCCTCTCTCGCTTTCTCCCTCCCTCCCCGCATGCCGCCCTCCCGCCTGCTCCGGCCTTCCTGCTTGTGTAGGACTGGAAAGGCCCCCGGCTGCTTTGCCGCCCTGGGCTACGGGCACATGGACCCATACGTCATGCTCTACAGGAGCGCGGGCTAGCGAAGGATGAGCAGCGGCAGAAGGAGGAAAGGATGAAAGGAGGCGTTCCGCCCCAGTGGGCCCCGAGGACGATTCAGACGTACTTGGGACAACTCATAGGCCCGAAGTTGCAGTGTCTGGGATGAGGCTATTCCGAGAGAGAAGGAACAATCGAAGGGCAGCGAGGTAGAAGGAGTAGAGCCTGGTGTGGGTCTAGCGGACGACAGACAGATTAGGAACACACCACGCATCCGCCCTGATGGAACTCTATTGCCCTCCAGCCCTGTCCTGTGAGGCGAGTCGCTAGCGACGGCCACCAAGCCCGGCACGTTGCCCGATAACAAACATGCGAAGCTCCATCACCATGACGGCAAGCGCGGCTCTGTGGCCAGGAAAAGGGGGTTCAGTTTGTGTTCGTTGTTGCCACTTGTTTTGTTGAGGTCTGGTTTAGCACCACCTCCTGTGGACGGACAACACAGGCACCCTGTCACTGGTGGCCGTGTGCCTCTTGACCTGTGCGATGCTCCTGCCTGGCTCAGCCGAGCCCGCTGCCCTGTATGTCCGTAAGGGCTTCGCCCCCTGCCGCCGGCCCCCTCTCTATCGAATGGGCCATGCCAGAGCTATGCTGTAATCCCTCGGCGCCGTTGTGAAACAATGCTGGCATCTCATGCGAGGGTGATTGGTAAGCGGCAGATTCAAATTCAGAGCGTGTTGTCGAAGTCATTTGTTTCTCGAATCTTCTTTCGTGTCATGCATTGGAGCTACGATTCGGGGCTTCTTGAGGCTACTTTGGTCAACATCGCGTGCTTTGGGCTGCCTTCTTGGGATGCCTCTTGGAAGCTTGCTGGGGCGGTTTGGCAGCCACGGAGAGCCCTCTTTAGCCCTCGCGCGGCTGAAAGCTTGGGTTGTTCGATCTGTGGTCCCGTTTTGGACCCCTCTTGGGGCCCTTTTCAGGAGTTGTCGGGCCGTCTTGGGTGCCTCTTGGGCCGTCCTGGTGCCCTCTGTGTCTGTCTTGGAGCCCTCCTGGAGGCTTCTTGGGCCGTCTTGGGGTGGTCTTGGTCTCGACAACGCGAATCCCACGTAACCTGGACGAGATCATCGCCTCGAAAGCGAGAGTCTGCCGTAATATACAAGCAGTCGTAGCCTTGAGGGCGAGAGCATGTATAATTCGAGGGTTTATGGTTTCGGGGGCGAGAATATCATATAATGTACGATGGTTGTATAGCCTCGGGGGCGCGAATACTACGTCATCTAAGAAGGTGTATGGCCGCGAAGAAGCAGCTACTGCGTACTTTACTAAGGTTGTATGGCTTCCGGGGCGCGAATCTTTGTTTATTTGCGAGGTCCATGATTTCGAGGGCGCGAGCATGGTGTATTTTACGAGGTTGTATAGCCTCGGGGACGCGACTATTGTGTACTTTACGAGGGTTTGTGGTTTCGGATGCGCGAGTGTTGCATAAGCTACGAAGGTGTCTGGCTTCGGGAACGCGCCCATTGTTTAATTTACAAGGGCTTATGGCTTCGAGGACGCGAACGCTGCGTGATTTAGAAGGGTGTCTGGCCTCGGGAACGCGACGATTGCTTAATTTTCGGGAGTTTGTGACTCCGGATGCGCGAGCATTGCCTAATTTACGAAGGTATGGCTTCGGGGACGCGAACCTTGTGTAATTTACAATGGTTTATGGCCTCCAGGACGCGAACATTGCGTGATTTAGAAGGGTGTCTGGCCTCGGGGACGCGACTATTGCGTACTTTACGAGGGTTTATAGTCTCCAGGGCGCGAGTCTCATGTACTTTTACGTGTCCCACGGTCCCCCGGGAAGTCTGCGAACCCCGGAGGGGCGTGGTAAGCCGCGACTTCTCGGCTCCCCCCCTTCGCGCGTGCAGTAACAGTTATCAGTAGGAAGCAGAAAGCAGAGCGATCACATTGGAAACTGGAAACTGCAACTGGCGCAGGGAGCGGCAAACCTTCGCCCTACAGCCTGGTGGCCCCACAAGGGGGCCGCCGGACTTGACCACTCGAAACCAGTGCATGTTACATTGGAGCAGAAGGCCCACTGGGTTCGGGGACGTCTTTGGTCCCTCTTGGCGTCCCCCGTTCCTCTCGTCCCTTTCCCTCCCTCCCAGGACTGCGGATCGAGGATTCGCCCCGCGCAGCCTTCTTAGCCCGCGAGGCGTTGGCAACAATGGGGGATGGCCTGCGTAATTTATGTTGGCTCAAGCCGTTGTGCTTAGAGCCGTTTCGGCTCAGGGGTGTGGGCGATTTCTAGGTCGAATCTTGGACTCGTTTGTTGTTCCACGACTGCGCGATCGAGAGTCAGGATGGGCAACGTCCTACATCCACATCCCGCTGTGCCAGCGGCTACAGACACGCAGGGGGCCGCTAGCGAGGACTTCATGCCGGCCGACGACGCTGCTCCGAGCTCTGCGAACGAAGTTGCTAGGAGCGGTGCCACTGTGGATTATTTGAGGGGCTCCCTCCTCTGCCGTTGCCCGCCCCCCTCCATCTGCAGGCATATAGTTGCGCTTGTTCTGTTGGTTACTTCGTTGTTTTGTCGGTTGGCTGGCTGGCACCTCGGCTGGTTGGCCGGTTGGCCTGCTGTCTCAATGGATGGTTGGCAGTTGATTTGGGTTGGTTGTTGGCTGGCTGGTTGCGCGCACATGCAATAATTAATGTGGGATGAAGGCCTCGGGGGCGCGCTTCAGCTGAAATTGACAAGGGGTCGCGGCTTTGGGAGCGTGCTAACTTTACTAGTTTCAAGGGTTCGCGGCCTCGGATCCATATCCGTGTTTTCAAGGAACGACAGGGGGGACGGAGGCAAAAAGCGCCCTCCGAATATAGATCCCAATCGAGCGACCTGTAGCTATTCGGCTCTGGAGAGACGGTGCTTTCGGGCAGCCGTCGAGAGGTGGGTCCGTGGCCTCGGGAGCGCGAGTTCGTTGCAAACGATAAGGGTTCGTGGCGGGCGCGTCGTACATTACGATTGCTTTGTGGCATCGGGAGCGCGAAAGTGCTAGAAGTCGCAAGGGGTCGTGGCCTTGGAGGTGCGAACGCGTTTCAATATACAAGGGATCGTAGACTCCAGAGCGCGAGCGTGTTGTAATTTCACAGGGTGTGTGGTCTCGGGAACGTGAGCGCGTATTACTTTCACTTGTTCCTAGCCGCTCCGAAATTCAGGATGTGGTTCTGGGATGGTACCCGTCCGCTTTTCGGCCAGGGGGTCGCCCTATCTGCGACCTGTCAATCTTTGAAAGTCGGACACTGGTCTCTAGCACCTGGGTCCTTGGAGCAGAGGAGGACCTGCACTGAAAGAAGCACTGGAACTGAGGAACTGAGGACTGGTGGCAGGGAGCAGCAACTTCGGCCACGCAGCCTGGCGGTCCCCAAGGGAGGCGGCGGATTTCCGCCCCTGGAGCCACAGCCTGGAGCACGAGCCACAGAGATCGCTCCGCTTCGCCGTGGGGACCCAGGTGATCTACAACAGTGGTAGCACCTGGGAGCCCGGGGAGATAGTGGGCCACTGGTACCATCCGCGCGGTTTCGCACCAGATTTCCGGGCTCCATACAAGCTTCTGTTGGCGTCGGGTCGACTCACGTTTGTGCCCGACGATGTGGAAGAGTTGTGCCGTGCGCGGCCGCTCACGTCGCCCGCCGTCAAAGCACCGAGGTGTCGCATCAGCGACTTGCACAAGCCAGCAACGTGGTGGGAGAATGCTCTCGTGGGTAGCAGCAGCATGGTCGTGGACAACCCTGGCGAGGACATCGACCAGCGAAACTACATGGGAGTCACGGCGCTCTCGGAGTGTGCTTGCGCGGATGCGCAAGGGCTTGCCCAGACGCTCTTGGATCTGGGCGCCGATCCGAATTCTTTGGACATTACGGGCCGCGGCCCGCTTCACCACGCTGTCGCCAGCGGGCGTGCTACGCCCGAGCAGGCTGACGGGACGGTCAGGGTGCTCCTTGAGGCGCGGGCGGACCCCAACGCCCAGGACACCGATTTCGAGAACGACTTCTCAAGCAAGACGTTCAAGGAGCGCAAGCGCCATCGGACGGCGCTGCACTACTGTGCAGAGCACGGCTACGTGTCTGCAGCAGGGTCGCTCCTGGGGGCAGCGGCGGACCCGAACATCCTTGATGGCCAGTACAAGCTGGCCCTGCACATTGCAGTGGACGAGCCTTCGCGCGACATGGTTGCTCTGTTGCTTGCCAACAGGTCCGACCCCGACATGGGAAACACAGAAATAGGCTTGACCTCGTCGTACTTGATGGTCGCTGCCCGCAACGGTGACGAATGGCTGGCGCGGGCTCTGATCGGCTCGAATGCGAAGGTCAACCAGGTCGATAAGAAGCAGGGGATGACCCCGCTCCACCTGGCCGTGAGGAGCCGGAAGGAGGGAGTGGCCAGGCTCTTGATCGAGGCGCGCGCCGACGCGAGCATCAAGGCCATGGGCAAGACCGCTGCGGAGATGGCCGCCGCAAACGGGCAGGCGGCGCTGGCGGCGCTGCTGGATGCGCCAGGGCCGATGGGGTCAGCCTACCCAGTTGAAATCTGAGACCTTGGACAGAGACCGCGAGGGGCAGCCCGGTCTGGTGGCCAGTGCTCGCGCGTGCCCACTGCCAGGCGCCAAGGGTTGTCAGCAGCGCCGCATCGGGAATACGTTCAGACGCATGGGTCAGCCATGCGCGTAGGGGGGCAGGGGCAGGAGGGAGGGCGTCTTGGAAGCACCCCTGCTTCTGAGAAGGCCCGGGCCCCATCCATATTGAGGCGAGGCCGGCGCCCTCTGAGCAGCAGCCTCTCTCCAAGACGCCTTCCCCCCCCCCCCGTGCCCCCTGCCCCCCCGTGCGCGCCGCCTGTCAGAGCCCCGAATCGTCAGGGGTAACTCGGGTCAGGGCTAACCCGGGTTCCTCTTCCGGGAATCCGAACCCGAGCTACCCCGGACCCGAGTTACCCCGGATAACTCGGGCGCCCAAGCCTGGGTGGGGGGGCCCCCGCGCGCCCCACGGGGGGGGAGCGGCGGGGCGCGGTATGCGCCGATGGGCCCACGGCCGGCCCGACGCCGCCCGAGGAGGGGGGCGGCCCGCCTCGGTCGCTAGCGCGCGGCAGGCCCGGGTGCCCGGCGGGCGGCGCGGCATGGCAGGCGGCGCACCCGGGAGCGGCTAAGGAGCCCGAGCCCCCTTCGGGGGCAAAGGGTAGGGCGGATGTGGGCATAGGTCAGTATCGTTTAACCGATCCCCATCCCCATCTCCATCCTTTTCGAGACCCCCACCAAATTACCCCCCAGTTGGGGATACACCCCTCGAAACCCGAAGGGAATGGCCTGTATCCCCATCTAGGGGGGTAAATCGGCCAGTGAGGCCCAGGCCACGCCGCTGGGGATGGGGATCGGTTAAACGATACTCAATAGGTAGGGGAACAAAAAGTGACATAAACAAAAAAAATCTCGGAGGTCCGCGCGGATTTCTCGGATCGGCGCTGGGACCCCCCCCGGCGGCGCCCCGGAGGCCACCGGCGCGCTCCGCGCGCCGGGGAGGGGGGTCCAGCGCCGATCCGACGAATCCGCGCGGACCTCCGAGTTTTTATGTTGATGCCACTATTTGCTCCCCTGATAGGGGCGGGGCTGCGTCGACCCCCATTGCCCAGTGAGCGCCGATGGGGCTACGGGCCCGATGGCCCCAATCTGCCCAGGAGGAGGAGGAGGAGGAGGAGGAGGAGGAGGAGGGGGAGGAGGAGGAGCTTGCGGAGTCACTATCGGCGGCTTGTCGCCAAGGCATCGGCGGTTCCAGGTCGACGTGTCCCCCCCTTATCCTGATCATTGTGCCAGTCCCCCTCCATCGTGGCCCCTCGCCCCCGGGGAGAAGGGGCGGCCCGCCCGCCGCGGTCTGGCACGCGGGGCGTGCGGCAGCGGCGGCGGCCTCGCGGCGTGCCATAGAGGAGCAGGAGCAGGAGCGTCGTGCTGGGACAGGAGCAGGAGCTTACCGCCCGCCACCCACGCGCCGTGTGCGCTGGAAGGCAGGACGCCTTTCCCTGTCGCCGCCTCCGAGGGCACCAACGCCCCGTGGCTGCCGCGCGGTCCCGCAGTCGCTTCGCGGACACTGCAGCGTGCTCATGGGTTCTTGTATGTCTTGCAAGGTCGCCTTCTGAGTTAGACTGAGACAGTGGGATGAAGAGAGCACTATCTCCGTGGTGTTGTCCTGTTTGGCATGTTATAGTTGTAAACGTATGCATGCATGCATGCATGCACTTGTGTGTGCATGCATGCAGGTGTGTATACATGCATGTGTGTATGAATGTATGTATACATACATGCACATATATATATATATATGTGCACATGTATGCATGTATGTATGCATGTAGGTGTATGCATGCATGCAGGTATGTTTGGATGTACGGGCGTACGTACGTATGTATGGATGTGTGTATGCAAGTCTTGCTGTATATGTACATGTGCGTATGTGTTCATGCACGCGTGTATACATGTATCTATGCATGTACGTATATGTATATATGCATGGATGTATGTATGTATGCGTGCGTGCATGCATGCATGATGTATGTATGTAGTTACGTATGTGTGTATGCATGTACTATATGTACGTATGCTGATGTACATGTGTGTATGTATGTATGTATGTATGTATGTATGTATGTATGTATGTATGTATGTATGTATGTATGTATGTATGTATATATGTATGCATGCATGCATGCATGCATGCATGCATGCATGGATGGATGGATGGATGGATGGATGGATGGATGGATGTGTGTATGCATGCACGTCTGCATGCACGCGTGTATGCTTGTGGGTATGTAGGAACGGACGGATGTACGGCTGGATGGATGGATTGATGGATGTGTGGATGGGTGTATGGATGTATGTATGTGCATATGCATGTATGTATGTGTGCATGTAGGTAGGTATCTACACATATATATATATACAGGTCGGTTGGTATCGGAGGTGAGGGGGTGAGATCGAAGTGGAACGGAGAGCCCCCCTACCGGGAAATCGATTTCTGTTTCGTGTTCGTGCGTGCCGTGCGGGCGAGGCGAAGCTGCGTGGGCGGGCGAGAGAAAGTCTCCTGTGGCTGAGGCGCGGCCGGACCAAATGATTCCCTTCCGGGCGGCCGGGGCCCCGCGGTGTCCCGCCGGTGTCCCGCTGGTGTCCCGTGTGGCTGAGGCGCGGCCGGACCAAATGTCTTCCTTCCGGGCGGCCGGGGCCCCGCGGTGTCCCGCCGGTGTCCCGTCGGTGTCCCGATAATGATGTTGTTGATGATGATCATGATGGTTATGTTGATGGTGATGATGATGACGATGATGGTGTCCTGGTGATGATGATGATGATGATGATGATGATGATGTTGATGATGATGATGAGATGACGATGATGATGATGCTGTTTCTGCCCGTTGTTGTTGATGATGATGTTGGTAATGATGATGCTGCTGATGATGATTATGGTATCCCGATGATGATGGTGATTATGACGGTGGTGATGATGATGGTGATGGTGATGTTGGGCCGATGATGACATTGATGATGATGTTGGTGATGATGATGCTGCCGATGATGGTGTCCCGATGATGTTGATGATGCTGTTGATAATGTTGATGATGATAATGAGCTGATGATGATGATGGTGTCCCGATGTTGTTGATAATGTTGACGATGAAAATGATGGTGACCATGATGGTGTCCCGATGCTGATGATGATGTTGATGGTGATGATGACGATGGCTGTGTCCCGATGATGATGATGACTATGATGAGATGATGATGGCGTTGATGATGATGGCATGATGATGATGGCGTTGATGATGATGGCAATGAGGATGATGTGAAGATGACAGTGTCCCGATGACGATGGAGATGGTGGTGTTGTTGTTGATGGTGATGACGTTGAATGTTAGATCGATTGTGATATCGGTAGTGAGATCGATAGTGAGACCGAATGTGGGATCGATTGTGAGATAGCATTGTGAGACCGAGCGAATGAGATAGATCGAGTGAGATCGATTGTGAGATCGATCGAGTGAAATCGATCGAGCGAGACCGATAGTGAGATGTATAGTGAGACCGATCGAGTGAGACGCTGCATCCTCCCCCCCCGAACCTCCTTATCACCCGAAGGGTGGTCGTATAGGTATAGTTATGTATGCATGTATGTATGCATGCATGCATGTGTGTATATATATATGTATATATGTATGTATATGTATGTATGTATGTATGTATGGATGGATGGATGGATGGATGGATGGATGGATGGATGTATGTATGTATGTGTGTATGTATATATGTATGTATATATGTATGTATGTGTATGTATGTGTGTGTATGTATGTATGTATGTATGTATGTATGTATGTATGTATGTATGTATGTATGTATGTATGTATGTATGTATGTATATGTGTGTATATGTGTGTATGTATGCGTGCGCCTGTCTGCCTGTATGTATGTATGTATGTATGTATGCATGCACACGTCTATCCAGAGCATGCTTGCGTACAATATGTGCCTACCCCAGTGTATGTAGACGCCCACTCTGTCATGCACCTTCGTGGAGAAGACGTGTCGGGCACCATTCCCATACAGCGTTCCAAGCCGCAGACCTACCCACGGTAGGCAGTTGTACGGCATGCAGCCCCATCCAACTAGGACTGAAAAGCCATGGTTTGGGGAAAAGGCGATCGGATTGCAAGCGCAACCTCATCGAGTCGAGATTGTGGGTAAGCGCGGGGCCTACCAGACATCCCGACGAAATTCGGCAGTCGTGGATCCGATCACTTTTACAACATGTTGTCATCATTGTGTTGGACTCCATCCCCAGTTCCAACCCACAGTGCCAATGCCGCAATGATGCTCCTCTCAAGGCATCTGCGCTGGCGCAAAGATGCGCCCCCTTTCGTCTTCCAGCGTCCTCGTATTCAAAGCTCTATTTTCCTCTCCCCTTCAATTCAATTCGTCCTTCCCTCTGGACCCCCCCCGAAAATTCCTGGCTCCCCCTGGAGCTCTCTTGCACCTCCAGAACCTCTCCCTCCTCATCCCTCCTCATCCCTCCTCATCCTCCTCCCCCTTCTCTTCTGTCATCCCTCCTTCCCCATCTTGCTTTTCCCTTCTCCCTTCTTCCGCGCTCCTTGCTCCCCACCCTCATTCTTCTCCTCCTCCTCCTACCCGTCCTCCCTAGAGGAGGGAAAGGAGGACTCCGAGTCCCCGCGCGATGTTCACACAGGATCCCTTCCACTCCCCTCCTTTCCTTCCCATTCCCCTCGCTTTCCCCTCGCCCCCGCGTTGCCTCCTCCCCCCCTTCGCCTTCCCGTCCCCATCGACCTTTCCCCGCCCCTCGCCTGGTCTCCCCTCCCCCTCCACTTCCCCCTTCCCCTCGCCCTCTCTGCCCCGCCCCCTCATCACGTGTCCCACCCCCCATCCCGTCCTACTCGCTTCGCGATAGATCTGAATCCCTGAATCCCCCCATCCCGTCCTCCCATCACCTTGTTGGAGATGGCAAGGCGGGTGGGGAGGGCCTCGGCGTGAGAAACGTCCAGT